GACTCAAAGATGATAACAAAAAATAAGATCCAAATAAAACATGTCAAAGCACACACTCCACCAAACTTGAATGACACCGTCTCGGTGTCAAAAAAATTCAAGAGGAAATCAAAAACACAAAGCAAAATAAGAAAAATGCATGATATTTACAAGGGTTGTGTGTTGGTACCTTGGAGCTAAGCACGACTGGAGCTTGAGGATGCTCCAGTCCTCCTGCTCTTTCTAGAAGTGTCGTGGGTGATCTCCTTGTCCTTCCCCTTGCTTGTGCCTTCTTGTAGAGAGAGGCGTGCAGCTTGGTTATCGCCTTGGGGCTCACGGATCTCCACACCTCCGGTTGATCTTCTCCTCATGGTTTGCTCAACCTCTTCACTTACAGTCTTCTCATATGAGCTCCCTTGTAGGTCCTTGATCTTCCTTCCCAGCTTCTTAATCATTTTCCCTTGCCATTTGTTGACCTTGCTCTGAATCTCCACAACCGAAGCAAGGAACTTCTCAGCTTTGGTCCAGCATTGAGAGGAAGTCCAGCGTTGCCTCGGGGTAAGTAGGGCAGTCCATCCTTGACAGGTAAGCAAGCCCCATGTCCTTGAGCAGCTTGTCAAAATCTTTCAACAAGCCTAGCTTTTCCAAGAGGTCCCTGCTTGCAAAATTGGTGGGTTCAAACCGGAGCCTTTCTAGCCTTTTCTTTGCCTTCTTCTCCTCCTTGCTCCATCTAACCCTCTCTTCCACCACTTGTTGAGTATCCTCTTGAGTTGCCACATCTCTACTTCTTTTCTTTGGGAGCCATTGGTACCTGAAACACAAGTTCTCAAAGAGAAGAATGAGTATAGGTGGCGAATTAAAGAGAAAGATAAGGAAAGAGAGAAAAACTCTTAACATAAATCCTAGAATTTTGGGGATTTTCTAAAAATTATCAATAAATAGAAGATGAAAATCTCTTTAGTTAAGATCAAATCAAGAAATTTTCCCTAATATTTAGATACTCATAAAAATTCATCATAATCCCTGGTAAATAACACTAAACCAATTCAAAGAAAAGGAAATTTTCTAAAAACTCAAACATGAGATTCAAGAAACTTCGAAATACCTTTGAAATGATGAATGTTAGATGCTTTTAGTCTTAAAAACTGAACTCACACTCCCTCTTTTCTAAAGAAAACAGTTTCGAAATGCAATGGAGAGAGTGTGTGCACAAGTGTTTATAACGACCAAGAATCTATGGATGCATGCAAGTGGTTTCTGAAAAAGTATGGTCAATGCACACATCTTCATGGTCAAAGATGCTTGCCTTGACCAAGATTCAAAATTTAAAATGGGAGGGAAAGAGAAAAGAGGGGAAAAACTTGAACTGACCTCGGCATGAGATCGAGTCAAATTGGTCGATCTTGACCTCGATCTCTTGCTTATGTTGCCTGTGATCGAGAGGGTTGGTCGATTGGGGGCTCGATTTGATTTGAATCGAGCCTTAGATCGAGTGTGCCCCCTCGTTCCAAGATCCTACGTGATTATGGCCATGCTCCTTGGATCGAGTTTCTTGATCGATTTCGAGGTCGTGTTGGCAAGGATCGAGTGAGCGGATCGAGTGAACTGATCGATCCGGTTCGAGGATCAAGTGAGACTAGTCGATCCACACCCCGTTTGCATTTCAAGCTAAACACGTGGGTGGGTCATCCTCTCACAATCGACTGACTCACTCGATTGTCTACTCGATCTCATATAGATCGAGTGACTTCACTCTATTCACTAGCTCGATCTAGTAAAGACCGAACTAGGATAGGTCGATCCATCACTCGATCGCTTGCCTCTACTTCTCCTTTTCTTGCCTTTTTGACTCCAAGATTATGACCTCCGGTTCCCATATCCTTTCACCTACACACTTAAACTAAAAAGCATAAAACTAAAACAGAAAGAAAGCAGAAATATGTACAAAGATAGTCATGGGAATGCCTCTCAAGTGCGCTTGTTTTACGTCCCTTAGCTTGACTTTACTTGGTTTAGGATAGAAGTGGGTCTTGGAGAAGCAACGTGGTGCTCTCCTTGCTGCATTCACTCGCCATGTAGGGCTTGACTCTATGCCCATTCACCATGAAGCTCTCTCCACTCTTGCCAACCAAAGTAACCACCCCATACGGTAGCACTTTTCTTATCAAAAACGGACCGCTCCACCTAGACTTGAGCTTTCCAGGGAACAACTTCAACCTTGAGTTGTAGAGCAGGACCAGACTGCCTTCCTTGAGCTCCTTAAGCACCAGCTTCTTGTCATGAACCGCCTTGGTCCTCTCCTTGTAGATCTTGGTGCTTTCATAAGCATCCAACCTTAGTTCATCCAGCTCATGGAGTTGCACCATTCTTCTTTCCTGTGTCATCTTGAGATTGAAGTTCACTTGCTTCACGGCCCAAAGAGCCTTATGCTCTAACTCAACAGAGAGGTGACAAGACTTGCCATAAAGGAGGTTGAAAGGAGTAGTACCAATGGGAGTCTTGAAAGCTGTTCTATACGCATATAGAGCTTCATCAAGCTTGCTTGCCCAATCCTTTCTAGTTACCCCTGCGGTTCTCTCTAGAATAGCTTTGATTTGCCTGTTTGACACCTCCACTTGGCCTCTGGTTTGAGGGTGATAGGGCGTAGCTACCTTGTGCTTAACCCCATACTTCTTCAAAAGACCCTCAAAGACCTTGTTGATGAAGTGGCTGCCCCCATCGCTGATAACTACCTTTGGAACTCCAAACCTTGGAAAGATGATAGTCTTGAAAAGTTTGATCACCACCTTTGCATCATTAGCTGGGGAAGCTATAGCCTCTACTCACTTAGACACATAGTCTACAGCCACCAGGATATACTTGTTGCCGTATGAAGATGGTAATGGACCCATGAAATCAATCCCCCAAGCATCAAAGACCCCCACTTCAAAGATGGGTACCTGCGGCATCTCATTCCTCCTTGTGATGTTCCCAGCTCTTTGGCATGCTTCACACAACTTAACAAACTCATGAGCATCCTTGAAGAGTGTTGGCCACCAAAACCCGGCTTGTAGAACCTTTGTAGCTGTCTTGAACGATGCGAAGTGCCCTTTATAAGACAAATCGTGGCAATGGAGAAGAATGTCTCTTGCCTCTTCTCTTGTGACACACCTTCCACACCCCTCTTGTACAGATAAGGGTCATCCCAAAAGTAATGAGAGATGTCCCTCATGAACTTCTTCTTGTGGTAGTGGTCTAGGGGAGTAGGCTCTTCTCCACAAGCCAAGTAGTTGACAATGTATGCATAACAAGGTAGGTCTTCTTCCTTGAAGCTCAAGACTTCTTCAAACTTTTCCTCCAGCATTGCACATACTACGGTGTTAACCATCATGAGCTGCTCCTCAGAGAGTGAGTCATCCAAAGGCAAGACTTCATTCGCCCTCATTTTTGAAAGATGATCAGCAACACCATTCTCTATACCCTTTTTATCCTTGATCTCCATATCAAACTCTTGCAAGAGAAGGATCCACCTTAGGAGTCTCGGCTTGGTGTCCTTCTTGGAGTATATGTACCTCAAAACAGCATGGTCAGTGTACACTATGACCTTAGAACCCACCAAATAGGACCTGAACTTTTCAAAAGCAAAGACCACGGCTAAGAGCTGGTTGATTCTACTTGGCTTCATTCCTTATTTATTCTTCACGATATCTACTAGTACTATGTTTGTTGGTAAACTGATGTAGGTATTATTTTGAACTAGAATTGCACATATAACCATGCAGGTCTGAATTCTACGTTTCCAAGACAAGGTCCATGTACGCCTCATGTTTGCTTTCCTCGTAGAAAATTGGACCTATTGAACCCATTTGCTAATCAATATGCTAAGATTTCTCTTTAGAATAAACTTTACCATAGCAAACGCAAACAGCTGTTTTTACTCATCCGACTAACAACTTTACTAAACCAAATGAGCAAAGTGATTGAGTTGATGATTAGTTAGGAAGCGATTAGTAAACCCACCTAAAATTCCAAACCTAGGACAAACAGGTTATGAACCCTACTACGAACTTTGGAGGTCCAGATCACACACAGCAATGATTGATATTCATTTCCATACATTTAACATTAATAGTCTATACTTGGATTTTGACTTAGACCTGTTCGTTTCTACTGTTATATGGTTATGTTTATTTTTCTCTCAAACAGAAAAAGATGTGCACTATCATTTCAATTGCTATCAAACAGGTTAATATCCTTTTTTATTGAAAAAAAAAAATTAAAAGTTCCAATAACCATCAATTTTGTTGCATATTTGATGTGTTTTTTTTTTTTTTTTTTTTGCGAGAACTCTATTAATAGAAAACCACACAATCAGCAGAGAGTAATCAAAATATGGTTTTATACTAATTGAGGTTCCAATCCACGACGTATGTGTTTCACTTTGACTTAAGATAAGTTCAGGGCTACAGGCTACAGCATGTACATGCTCTTTTCGGATTGGTGGGTCTTATTAAATTACTATTCTTTGGGGTCGGGTTGCTCTATAATTTTATTATTATAATTGCAAACTTATGAATGTCTGTCACGTACTTCTTTTAGATTTGGTATTATACTCTTATATTTATAAAAAAATTAAAACAGTAAGATAAAGAAGAAGTCAGGTCTTTTATATATAGTAGTATAATTAACCTGTATATAGCCAACAACAAAAGTATAACTTTTATATATACGATTACGTTATTATTCAATTGACACTAAATCAACAGAGAGATCAAAATGTTTTGGCTTAAATTACGTTTCCAATTTTAATTTACTTGCTTTAAGATGTTTCCACCCCGGGCTATAAAATGTTACCCCATGGTTTAGCGCATACTTGTTCGCAGAAAACCTTACATAATCAATGTTTAAGAATTGTTATACTAGGCTTAATCAATAGAACATTAATAGTATATTTATTTTGTAAAGCTTCACATTGATATATATTGTGGTCCGTAACATAAATATAGCAATACAAATACACCATTTCTTTAGTAGTTTAACACCTTACACACTTTAGCATATACTATTTGAAAACCTCTCGGGTCGAGAAAAAGGCAGCTAATAACTGTGATTCCAACTCACCAAGGTTTTATATTTCTGCTTATACTATACTATTTCAAACTATGTATATCAGAAGAAAATAGATATAGGAACACTCTGAGTTCTTTTATAAGACTTTTTCAAGCAGCAGAAGGTGCAGGATAGTAGGTAAATTCCGGTTCGAGTACCAAAGCTAGGATGGTCGATTTGGTTACGGTTTCTTCCACATCTTGAGGGCTTTTGGGTTTGAAATCGAGTGATTCATCATTATATACATCCCACCATTTATCAACTAACATCTTGATGTCTTCTCTGTCCATGTTAGCTTCTTCTCCTGTGTACCTCCATGGCTTGGATCCCTATCATGTTCACAATCAACATGAAAAGGGAGTTAAATTTCAAGAAAACAAGCTAAACTGGCTCCGGTTTGTGAGCAAAGAGAGAAGAACTACTACTTACGGCTGCACAGTAGTGAACAACCTTGACTCTCTCCAGCTCCACGTTCTCAGAGTGACGCCAAAGCATAGCAAGAACCAGATTGTGAACTAGAGGGATCGGTTTGTACACTTTCTCAAAGAACATATTGAGAAAATCCTGCCACAAAGACCAAATTCATCATCAAAACCAGTTCTTGATTCGATTTGAAGCATTGCAAACCCGGATATAACTCACTTGTTCTGCAAATGGTGAAGGCGGTGTGATCTCCAGGGTCTGAAGAAGGCTCTCATAAGTCAAAGGGCTAGGCTCAAACACAAACATACCGGCGTTGAAATACAGAGGAGGAGGAGGAGAATCCATATCCTCCGGCCACGTGACCTTCTCCGGGCACTGTTGACAATACCCAATCGAATACTAAAGCGAGTGGCTCCACGTTTTCTCACAGAAACAATCCATCACGGCATAAAAATACCCGTCAGGCATATCGAAGAGGTCATCGATATTCTCAAAGACTTGAATATCTGCATCTAGGTAAATCATCTTGCTGTATTCTTCAAACTACAAGAAGTTTTAAAAGGTAAACACAAAGAGCTTTTAACTACAAGAAGTTTTGTGAAGAATAGGTAATACTCACGTTCCAAATACGCAGTTTTGAAGTCTCTCTAGCTATTATTAGAATCATAGTTCACTTTATCTAATTGCTGCTTGCTTGAATTAAATAGTCTATTGCATTCCTGATTGTTTATTTTGCTCATTTGGATTGACACTTACATACTACAATGATAAATGAGTATATGTAGGATTTGAAGTAGAGTAAACTTCTACATCATTAGATAGATGAAAAGGTTATTGTATTAAGAGACAGAGATTGTTAGATTGCACGTCGAGTTTAGCCGGAGCTAGTAAAAATCTTACCAGAACGTTTTCGGCCCCATATATAGTCATCCTCACGGGGATGAATTCTGAATTACCAAATCTTGTGTCTTTGTTCTTAGTTCTCCGTATTTTCTTTCGTTCTCTTTTATTCATCTCGTACTAAGTATAATTGGAAGTTCAAAGGAGAAGTTAATCTCACAGCTACATATTTACTTTAAACTATAGAAAAAAAAAATTTTAAAGAGAAAAGAGAAAAAATCTATCTAAAAAATCATACGAGAGTTCCTAATAAAGAATTTTAATGGCATATGTGTAGAAAAAAGGAAACTATACCTTCAGGATTAAATAAAAAAGAGACTACTGTTGTCGATGGCTTGTAATGGCTTCCTAAATATATTTATACATATCAAATAACCATTAACAAACAAAACAAACTAAAACAAGAGATTCTCTTTTTAAAAACAAACACGTGTTTTTTTTTTCAAACACTAACTTTTCTTTTCACATTTTGTTTCCAAATTTATATATGTAAATTCTAAAGCTTATTTTTTAAAAAAAATCTAAATTGTTTTTTTCAACAATAAAAAAGCCATCAACAAAGTTTTAAACTTTTCATTTATTGAATTTTAAAATTGTTGAAAACATCTTTATAAGAAAAGATAAATTTAGCTAACATTTGTTTTACTGCAATTCGTTGAGTTTCTATATTGTTCAAAAGCATTTTACAAGATGCTACGTGGAGGTGTATCATTCGTATGGGTGCTAGAGTCGTGTCTCCATATTTCCTTTTTTGGGGAGAAAGTCGATGGCCGTTCTAGGGCAGAAGTCTGTTCGAGTCCTATGGGCACTACACAAAAGTTTCAGCCGAGCTTTCAAGAAGATTGAATGGGGGTTTCCCTCCAGAAGGTTCTCTGACACCCAAATCAATGAATATTTTACCGGAAACAAGTACTCGGGAAAGTGATTCTATGGATTAAAGTTAGATGACCCGTCTAGGGATTGGGGCATCTTTCTATCTAAAGGTGTATTGAAGGGATTCTACAAGGGAAAGGAGAAGTAACGCTTATAAAGGCATGATTCCAGGCTAGAGAGGGATTTATTGTAACGACCCGAACCCGGCTTATTTGATTAAGTTTAAATGAATTGATTTGGCTACATATGTCACAAAAGTGCACTTATCTTTTCGGTTATTGGGCCTGAGAGAATTCCAGTGTTAAGCGTGCTTGAGCTGGAGCAGGACTAGGATGGGTGATCTTTCGGGAAGTGATTCCCGAAAGCGTGTAAATGAGACCAAAACACGGGAAAAGATCATGTGGTGATTGCAGGATCAGTAAATAAGCCGGTTGGGCTCCGAGAAAAATAACGCACCGGCTGTCGGACAAAGGCGGGGCCCACGAACCCGACGGAAGGATGGGTGACTCGTCGGTAGGAGCGGTCGGGGGTGTTACACTTATCCTGGTTGGGGCTGTCTCCGGGAAGCAAGCCGTTCCCTTAAAACTGCGTTATATGGCTGTGCTTGTCTTCTCTCAGATGGGATTGGGTTCTTTGTCCTTAGACCGAACTCTATGGATGTCTCTCCTTTGATTTCTATATCTTTCTTTCTCTTTTTTTTTTGGTTCAGGCCTTTGGCCTATGGCTCTCTTTCTCTCTCTTTCCCCCCCCCCCGCCCCTCCTCCCCCCGCACCTCTCTTATGTTATTGCCCTTCTTTTGTTTGTACAAATCCTCTCCGTCCTATCTCATCCATTCGATGAGCATGTGGATTGGTGGCTGTTCAGGAATAGTACGCTAGGGATTCGTTGGCCAAACTAGCAGGTTGTGTCAGTGTTTAGAGTGTTTCGATGCCCACATATCTTACTGTCATTTGTTCTTGTAAAACAAATCCCACCATATATTCATCATCAAATTCTAGTAAATGTAGATTAACTAGCATGATACACAATTGAATTTGCTAACTAGAAAATTGTGAAATAGTGATGCACAATTGAGTTTGCTCAACTAAGACTTACTTGTGAAATAGTGAGCCAGCCTGGTAAATATTGACCATTATGTCGAGTTTTAGAAGTGCTTCTTTGATCTCTTCAGAGTCCTCTCCACTACGTATAAATCAACCTTTAACTCAGCAAATTCCATTTGGTGTTTCTTAAGTAGTATGCACCTTTAGTGAAGGGCTGCTCCTGAAGCTATTCTGCTGTTCTAGTTTTGTCAAACCAATTTCGAGATATTTAGAGTTGACAGTGCAAACCTTGCAGACAATAAATTTATGGTATTTTTGAGTTACAACAGATAATCTTCTTACATGCATGAGTAATATCATTAATACAAGTCCTGACTCACATCAAAATGGCATGTCATAATCGTTGACATAAGCCAACAAACCGTCATTGAACATCAAATTAAATCTATTCATTGGATAATCTTGCTTGGATATTAATATATTTTCACATAACTGAGCAACTACTTCTTTTTTTTTTTTGTCACTCAACTGAGCAACTACTTCATCATGTCAATTTAGTGGCTTTAAATAAGTTTACCTTGTGACAGTAAATGCCAACAACCCAACTGTTGATTGTTTTCCTAGAAGGGCAACACCTATACTTCTCTTAAGAGAGAATATTTTTGACTAATAATAATGAAAAGATTAATTAAACCAGAATATAGATAGTTCAAACCCGACATTCCAATATTTATTTTCAAAATAAATAATTAACTTGCAACCACTATTGTACTCAGTAAATAGTTTGGTTGCAAAAACAAGATAGATAGAAAAATAGTTTTTCCAATTGGTGTTATGGAGCAACTACATCTTGAACACACGTACGGACGTTATGGCAGATCGAGTGACATCGACTGCACCTACGTATCGTCCTTGCTCCAAGATGGTCCTGCAAATTCTATACATCAAATTATATCAATTTTTTTTTAATTATATGAAATGTATGATATTAGGTAGAATTTTTTATCAGCGTGTGAAGAAAATTAATAGAGAAAGAAAGACATTGATTACGTACAATCTTATAGATGATTGGGTAAGGACAAGTAAGGCAGTTATGTCCAGTTTCTTTGCACCTTGAACACACATGATCTTTTTCTTCCTCGGCTCTTTCTCTCTTCAAAGAACCATTAGGCTTTCATGTTTAGTAAAAAAATTCATGATTATATAAATGGATGGTTAATAAAAGAATATTTTGGCCAATGTTTTAAAATACCTGAGTCTGAGCCTCCAAATTACGAAAATATCTGTAAAATACTCTTTTGGAGTAAAATTTCTGTCCTGTTTTTAAATTGAAGTAGTACTATAACAAAAAACAAAACCTCAAAATGTAAGAAATTTAGTTTCACACGTTAACAAATATGAAGGCATGAAGAATTAATGATGAACAACGACAATTTGAGACAAATATCCAAAGTTAACTTTAATAAAAGTCCAAAACATGTTACTTCAAAGATAATAAACTTTAAATGGTAACTTTATTTTGCGGAATAGAAAAATGGATTTTAAAATACAGTGCAGTTAAACTGCGGAATGTGTGTTACATAACGAGTGCAGTTAATGTAAAAAAATTGTATGTGATAAAGTTTAAATGATAACAATTATAAATGCAATATATCATGAAAATTTTTTAAACTTTAATTATCTGATTATAATATTTATAAAATAATAAATTTTGAATGGTAATATATATATATATATATATATATATTTACTAATAAAAAGTTAGTAATTAATCAAATAAAAATCAGCAGTTTTGCTTTATCCATTGCATATTTAGTTTGGACTGCTGGGTATTAGTATTGTAATAGAAAAGTGTGGATCAACATATAATAATATGCTTTGAGAATTGCAATCACTTTTTTTTTTCAAAAACCGCAAATGAATACAAATTCTGTGATTGGCAATGAAAAACGTTTTTACAAAAACAAATTTGAAGTCCACCTTTTTATTGTCTCCAATCACAAAGTGATAGATACTCAAACTATAGTGATAGAATATATTAAATGATAGATACTCATACTACTAACAGTCAAACTAGTATTCAATTTGACTTAGGACAAAATAGAAACAATTATAAAATTCAAGTTTATCCCTTTTTATTTTTGTGCATACTGATTATATTAAGATTAACTCGTGATTACAAGGAGCTTCCATGCCAAGGAGTGAACATTTGCAACAGAAAATACAAATAAAATAGATAAAAAATAGGTTATCCAAGTTTATCCCTATGAATTTGTTGGTATCTCTTTAATGAACAGAACTAACGTCTCAATCAATACATTAAATTCCTTATATTGCTTAGCCCTTAGTTAAAAAGAAAATCACATTCACATAAGTCACTAGGCATCAACAATGCAATATGAGCCATATCGGTTTTGTATAGGTGGTATAATAGAGAAAATCTCAACTCTTTAGCCATAAATAAATAAATTAAAGAACCCCAACTGGTCTAGTTCAAAGACTGGCAAATGGATTAATGAAATGCATCAAGAGTGAATGGATGCAATCATCGCTAAGTGCATATGTGTTCCTCACGATCCATCATATTTACAATTGATCGGTTTAAATCTTACTAGCAATTTCAAGTGCTCCTATTTCAGAAATTCTGGTACAAAAAGTCGAGAAAAAACGAAACCAAAGTATTTATAATTTAATGTGCTTCAAATTAATAAAGTCAAATAGTAAAGT